AAAAGCCTTTTTTGTTGCTTTTAACCTCTCTAGCAAGCCTGAGTTCATTCTGTGCTTTAGCTTTTCTGACTTTGTGTCTACACGTGCTGGCTATTTATTTGAATTCCTCTTTGGTGGTTTCCCCCCTTTTCCATTTTTTGGACACATCCTTTTTTAATCTTAACTCAGTTAAAAGTTCTTTAGATAGCCTCCCTGGCTTCTTTAGGCACCTTCCAAATGATATAAGCAGTGTAATTCTATGCATGTCAACTCAGAAGTAAGACCCACAGAGTTCAATTGAGGTTATTATTTCCATGTAAGTGTTCATAGGACTGCAACCTAAAGCTTCTGAAAGCTCATAAATGTTGCCTTCAAAATCAAGTCAAACTAGCAAACTAAGAAGAAACCTCAGCCCTCTTTGCCAGGTCAAACCCCGTCTCTGCTATCCAGGAAAGAAAGAACAATGAAAATTGACAGCTGTATGGATTAAAGCCTTTGAGTTCTACCCATATTTATGGGGATTTGATGCTTTGAATCAGTATTCCAGAAATGAATAAAGCTTATGTCATTGGTGGTCCACCCCACTGAGTATGGAGACTAAGACTGAAGCAAAGATGTATTTTTATTTTTTAAAAAAGCAAGGACCTGAGTGAGTAGTTAATAAGAATGAATAAACGCAAACCTGAAAATACGTTATCTGGTCATACACTACAGGTTCCCATTCCTGACCTCACTCAGTGCTGAGGGAGGAGGGAACTCACAGAGCAGACAATATGAATAATGCAAAAGGTTTAAGGATGAAAATAACGATTAACACAAAACCCCTGAAAATTGTACGGTGGCATTAAAAAAGAAAAGAAAAGCCGGAAAACAATTGGGTATACCAGTGACGATTGCTGGGGATTCTTTAATAATTGATTCTACAATTAATTGAAAACGATTTTAATTTTGCCTAAAGCAGCCATTCCCCTGCACTATTTCATCGTTTCCTCTCCACGGTCGCCGTTGTCATTGTTTTGAATGCACTGACACTTTGGAAACATTGCCAAAACAGCAGGAAAGTAATGAAAAATATATATAGTGCTGAGATCTTCTAGGCTTTTCAAATAGCTCTTTTAAAAGATCTTGCAAATCATCTCAAGAGAATATTCCCAACTGGCTCGCTTATGCACGCTACGTTAAACTTTGCAGCAACCTGCTGTGTCGCAACAGTCATGACCCCAAACCCTTGAACAGTTTGATTGGACGTGGGTTCAATGCCAGTTCTTAAGAAATCTGAACAGAGAAACAGATTTTCTTCAAAAAAGAAAAAGAAAAAGAAATCCCAGCAGGATTATCATCCTTCTGCAGTTTCGGAATGGAACATAATGTGATAATTTAATTGTATATTTAAATGCAATTGGAGTATCACATATGTTGATCTCAGAACCAATATGCCCATGACATTCAATCTAATCTGACAAAAGCAACTAATTGATACAAGAAAGAACAGATTTCCTAGCTTAGATGTAAAAGTGGCCACTAAGCCAATCAGCAATTTGGCATGCCCTCAAGTTCATTCCATCTTGCTAAAATGGATTCCCCATTCCCATTAGGATTCTTTCACTGGAACCAGTTTTTTGGCATAGTAGACACTGTCTTTAGGGCAGCCCTGCCATGATGCAGGATGAGGTAGCCTCAGACAGGTAGGGACGATTGAGGTGTCTTTTAAAGGCCAGACTCTTTGCTGCATAACTTGCACAGCACCTCTTAAGAAAGCCTGCTGCCCACAAGTAGCGACAGATGCTGCCCTGGTTCCAGTGCTGGAATATGATTCATCTGTCAGTCCAGTTAGCTCCACCTCACACAATTGTAATTGTATTAGTGTGAACACCCAACTAGGGCTTGGTTGGCACCATTTTGTTGCTGTGCTGGTGTTGAGGGGGAATGTGTCTTGAATGTTTTTCCATTCTCCTTTAAATTCCTTCCAATTCTGCATGAGATATAGGCCTCTTGAGCAAATTTTCTGTTTCTTGGGCTGTATAAAACATGGCGTCATGCAGACATGTTTCATTTATAGACTTACATGCAGATTAGAAGCAGAACTGGATCTCACATTGCCTTTCCCTTGTTACATTTAGTGTGCTTTTCTTCTTTGGTGATGACTTGTAGCTGAGTAAGAGCGTCTTCAATGAACACGGTCTTAACGGTGTGTCCATGACTGTGGAGACCAATTCTGGATCCACACATCCTTCCACAGTGGATACATAGATTTCTGGGTGGGAGTTGATCTCAGTGAAGATTTGCCAAACAGGCCTTCCTCTCAGCTTGTTTCTCCCTTTCAGCCTGAGTTTGTGTTTCTTCAAATTCCATGATTCCTTTGGTAGATGCCATTCTCCAGTTGGAGCGCTCACAGCCCAGTGTTTCCCAGTTGTCAGTGTTTATGCTACTTTTTTTTTCATTTGCTTTGAGAGCATCTTAAACCTCTTTTGCTGTCCACCGGCGTTACACCTTCCATTCTTAAGTTGGGAATAGAGCAGTTGCATTGGAAGATGGTAATCAGGCAGGCATTCAAACCACATGACCAGTCCAACAAAGTTGATGTTGAAGAATCATTGCTTCTACACTGGTGATATTTGCTTCTTCCAGTACACTGGCATTAATTTGCCTGTCTTCCCAAGAGATGTGTACAATTTTTCAGAGACACCATTGATGGAATCTTTTGAGGAGTTGACATTTATAAGTGGTCCATGTTTCACAAGCATATAGTAAAGCTGGTAGTACAATAGTAAATAAGCTTTTCAGTTTCCCTATGGCTGCCCGCTCCTCAAACACCCTGTGCTTCAAGCAGATGTGCATTCCCAATAGTACTTCCTTTTGCAAAAAAAAATAAAAATAGTTATGTGAAAATTATTCATTAGAGAGGTTTTCTGACAGTGAAATTCATCGTCGATAAGATCATGCATGCTAGTCTGATACCCCAAGCAAAAATGATTATTATAAGTTATTACCCACCCTTCACCCGAAGGTTCCAAGGTGGGTTACAACAACTAACACATTATGGTTGGGTGGCCTTCCAAGTCACATATCTACACAACCAAGTTAGATTCTGAGTGACCTGCAATCTGGAGTGAAATCCACTCATTCCCAATCTATGTAATGATGCCGTTGTTGAAAGATTTGGTAATGTTATTTCTAGTGATGTAGTAGGTCATGAATTTTAAAGGTACATCTATTTTTATATTTCAGCTGTTTACTTGACTTCACTAAAATTCATGCAGTAGGTGCTGTAAAGTAATCAGTATATCAAACTGAGAGGGAGGGAGGGAGAGTTTCCCCCAAATAACAAATATAATAAAAATCCCTAGCATCTCTGGCAAACAGAACAAAAAGAAACTTGGGAAACATATGCTTTAAAATTGACTTAATATACTGTAACAGATAAAACTTTTATGTCTGCAGAGGATGGTTGCTAACCTGAAATACTGCAATATAACATTATACCTAGGCTGCACTAGACACCTCTACAACTTCTCAGAGATATGTGAGGGCCTTGTGGCATTTGCCAGACAACATGTCAAACAGAAATAGGAGATTATATATGCATGCTTACTGCTTTCTCTTGGACTGAACGTGTTTCAGGACCCTGCATGAGATTTCAGAAAGCTTTAATCCTATAAACTGTCAGAAATGTCTGCACATAGAAATGTTTCTTATTTAGCTTAATAAGTTTTAATTGATTGACTCTCTTGCTTTTTGCTTGACTAATTAACCAATTAAAAATGAGCATGCCAGTATCACAGTGCAGAAGATATTTGAGGCTAGTTAATGATGATAACAGTTTCTCTGAACAAATACCAGAGACAAATCATTCATTGTTTGAAGACTCATTTTAAGTGCAGCTGAATGAAAAGATTATGTTGTTTTCAACTGTGCCATCATTATTCCAATTCAAGTTTACATTTTAGATCTTACATTAGTAAACTAATCAATTAGTTGTACCGGGGGAATTACAAATGCTTTCTTTTCTACTTAACACTATCATATATTTTGAGAAAGCTGGGTATTGCTAGGAGCTTTGTCATCATTCAAACATTTTTAAATGAATTCCTCTGTAGTTCTGATGCAATACGGTAGCAAAGTATCAATTTCAGAGTTGGAGGAGGCCTTGTAGATATCTGGACTATGTTCTGATCGATGCAGAAATCAATGCTACATACTTGCAAATGAATGTAAGGAAAGGAAAGGAAATGTAAATATAGAGAAATAATAAACTGGAACAAATGTCAATGTCATATAGAGAGAAAAAATGTAGATATTTGAACTTCAGTATTTAAATTTTCATTTTTTAAAATCTGTTCTCCACATTACATGGGACCCAAGACTTTTGATTAGTGTTATCAACAAGCTCAAATGACTGCTGGCATTTATAGGTTCAAAAAGAAAAGTAGCTATTGCTTTGCAGTCACAGTATGTTGTAGTCCCACTTGCAATTTTCCTCCTCCTACAGTCAGTCTAACCTAATCAGTCTATATAAAAAAAAAATTCTTTATGACTGCATCATACTGCACATGGGGCTTCCACCTTGCCCTCTACCAGGAACATTGTGTCCTTTCTCCCTCATGCTTTTCGTTGACATGCAGGCAAAGTGGTCCTGAGCCTGTCTCAGAAATAACTTTAAGGGGATTGTTTAAAAAACACACACATTAAAACTGAAGAAAGCTGATTTCCCCACTCTTTGGATTTTTTGGGGATAATTCCTGCCTTCCCTTCTGCATCCATCCATCAACATTCCTGTCTTCCCAACCCTCGCCCCATACACTCAAACCATCCCACTCACCAAGCAAATTCTTCCTGTGGAATGTCCTCCCACCAGATGTCAAGGAAATAAACAACTATCTGACTCTTAAGAAGACATCTGAAGGCAGCCCTATTTAGGGAAGTTTTTAATGTCTGATATTTTCTCATCATCATCATAATATTCTGTTGGGAGCCACCCAGAGTAGCTCAGGAAACTCAGCCAGATGGGTCGGGTATTGTTGTAGTTGTTTAGTTGTTGTTGGGTGTAGTGAAGGGTTAACCTTCTGTGCCTCGAGCCTGAGAGGAGGCGCGTACAAGGGAAGTACGCCAGGACGTGACGAAAGCAGCTTGGAATGCTGTGAGCTGAGTGGAAATCGAAAGCAGGTTGTTGCGTCGCTGCACTGAGAGAGAAGGACGCAGAGAAAATGCAGCTCCACTCTGATGGCTGTTATGGATTGTAAATACGCCATTTTGTTCCCAATAAAGAGATATTAGGATAGAAGAAACGTTTGGAACTTATTTACTGCTCTTTCGACACACGCCGCTGTGTAACTCTGCTAATTGCTTTACGATCTACAGAGGCTCCCAGGGGAAGCGTGGCTGGGCGCCGAACAATAAAGCAATAAATCTACCGAAGAGTTGTTTAGTCGTGTCCAACTCTTTGTGACCCCATGGACCAGAGCACGCCAGGCACTCCTGTCTTCCACTGCCTCCCGCAGTTTGGTCAAACTCATGCTGGTAGCTTCGAGAACACTGGCCAACCATCTTGTCCTCTGTCGTCCCCTTCTCCTTGTGCCCTCAATCTTTCCCAACATCAGGGTCTTTTCCAGGGAGTCTTCTCTTCTCATGAGGTGGCCAAAGTATTGGGGCCTCAGCTTCAGGATCTGTCCTTCCAGTGAGCAGTCGGGGCTGATTTCCTTCAGAATAGAGAGGTTTGATCTTCTTGCAGTCCATGGGACTCTCAAGAGTCTCCTCCAGCACCATAATTCAAAAGCATCAATTCTTTGGCAATCAGCCTTCTTTATGGTCCAGCTCTCACTTCCATACATCACTATTGGGGAAACCATAGCTTTAACTATATGGACCTTTGTCGGCAAGGTGGTGTCTCTGCTTTTTAAGGTGCTGTCTAGGTTTGTCATTGCTTTTCTCCCAAGAAGCAGGCATCTTTTAATTTTATGACTGCTGTCACCATCTGCAGTGATCAGGTCTAAATTACTATTACTACTACTACTACTACTATTATTACTATTCCTCAGTCTTTCCATACATCCTCAGTGAGAATGGCAACAGGGAGAAAGGTTGGGGTTTTCCCCTTTTCTTTCCATTAACTATCATGCTTGCTACTGACAGCAGGGGTCCATGAGAAACATAGTTATCCAAAGGGCTCTTTAGGAGGAATACGCTTGTTCACCTTCCCTGCTGCTTCTCCCACCATCAAATTAAGGGAAGGAAGGGGGATTCATCCTGGGGTTGGAAAGAATGGTGGAGAAGAGTGGAGACAATATATTGCCCTTTAATTTTGCTTAGGAACTTTTTTCTTTCTTTCAGGTCTCTGCTCCTCACATGAATTCCCAGAAAAGTAACAAACCATGGTGTCAGGGACTGGGCAGAGGAGGAATGGTGAAGACTGAGCCTTCCAGAGAAGAGGAAGACAGTTCAGATTTACAACAGTGGTTTGTAGGAGGTCACAGCCCAGAGACAGATGAGGGAGAAAGTTGGGAAATAATGGGAGAGGAGGAGGAGGAACAGGAAGCACTAGGGGGGCGACAGCTGATGGACACAGTGTCTTTAGAAAGCATTCCAGACCAGTCCCCTTTCCCAGAACCCGGCGAGCCTTGAAAGTAGGAGAGCAAAGAGCTCAAAGGCAGAGGGCACTTGTCAGCACCCATAGGGGTGACACATGAGGGAGTGGGAGGGGGGGTGGAGATTCACTTGGGACAATGCCATTATCCAAGAGGCTGTGTTCCAAAGCCTCTCTCTTTAAATACTGAATAAAAAGTGGATGGTAAGAAACTTTTCCTTGTCTTTGTATGTTCCTGGGCAACTGGCCGTGGGAGTTGCTTGCAGCCACCTGACACATGGATATCTTAAGAGGACTGACTCCTCTCTTTGGTTAATAATTACTGTTTTATATCAAACCTAAATAAAAGTTTGGTGAAAATCAAAAGCTTTTTCAGTGCTTTGGGACTTTTTGGTGGTAGTGGGCTTAAAGCTAATTTTACTGCCTCTGTTATTTTAGGAACTGATGGAAGGCCTTCAGTTGCCTATTAAAAAAATAAATTAAACATGGGCTGAAGAATGACATCTGACTATAAGATTGGCCAGCCTGTTAGGACTCCAGTAGGCTGGACTTTTGCAGCAGTGGGAGCTGCAGGCAGTCTAGAACCATCCCATAATACTGACAGCTGATTAATTGGAAAGACTCTTACAAAGGCAGACAATTCTCAGGCCAGCAATTTTATGTTCATGTTATTTAGGACTTCTTGTACATACAATGCTTGGTTGAATGAACTCCTCCGGGGGAAGTATTAAATGTGTTGTAGAAAGATAATGCCCATGGCACACTCCCACTGGCTATCAGCCAGGGATTCAAATATTAATCTCTTGGGTGTGCAGCAGTTCTCTGTGAGCTGAATATTAATTGTCTCCTCTGTAATACAAAAGCTAATGAACACTATTCCTTCAGATAAGGATGCATGCCTAACATATTTTGTATGCTATCTATCACAGAAACATTTTGTCAATATACAATGATGCTGAACATGTCTGCTTCAAAAACACCCAGTTATTTATAGTAAGAATTAATCAATAACATTTCCACCCATGAAGATCAATTTGCCCTATGGAGATGGGCAGTTGGTTAGCATTACCTGCCTCTTCCCTGGAAGACCAAATTAAACGAGGAACATTACACACAGTACCAAGCAGGATAAAAATGAAGCTGAGAGGTAGACAAAGCCTGGGTATTCAGAAATACTCTGTTTCTCCATTGAGACATAGCAAAATAACGTAAACTAAAATATAATGAGCACAATTCAGAGAAAGCAAAACCTGTCTAATGTCCACTGAGATCAACAAAGCTTGTACACACAACTGTGTGCTTAAGTTCCATTGACGTCGATGAGGCTTTAAGCTTGGCAGAATTGCTTTCGTTTGCACACATTGTTTCTGAATCTACTTTCAACCATATGAGTCCCAATCCATCTCTACCTAGCTGTGCATAAAATCTGCTAGCCCCAGAGGGGCTGGATGAGCACTGAAGTGCGCATGCTGATATACAGCATAATTCATATCCACATCAGTGCTGAGTTCAGAGGCCTGGAACTCTTAGAAATAAGAAGCTTCGCTGAGGCTAGGGTTATTAAATGGAGATATACCCATGCAAAGGAGACTGGATGCAATCAAGACCCATCTGAGAACAAGAGCCACACTCCTAGAATCATAGAATCATAGAATCATAGAGTTGGAAGAGACCACAAGGGCCATTGAGTCCAACCCCCTGCCAAGCAGGAAACACCATCAGAGCCCTCCTGACATATGGTTGTCAAGCCTCTGCTTAAAGACCTCCAAAGAAGGAGACTCCACCACACTCCTTGGCAGCAAATTCCACTGTCAAACAGCTCTTACTGTCAGGAAGTTCTTCCTAATGTTTAGGTGGAATCTTCTTTCTTGTAGTTTGGATCCATTGCTCCGTGTCCGCTTCTCTGGAGCAGCAGAAAACAACCTTTCTCCCTTGTCTATGTGACATCCTTTTATATATTTGAATATGGCTATCATATCACCCCTTAACCTCCTCTTCTCCAGGCTAAACATGCCCAGCTCCCTTAGCCATTCCTCATAAGGCATCGTTTCCAGGCCTTTGACCATTTTGGTTGCCCTCCTCTGGACACGTTCACCCCACTGGATATGCTACAGAAGTCTGCCTTGAAGCAAGCTCAAACATAGAGTGTCAAATGACAGCAAACAGCAACTGGTGATGGGTGATGACCCCACTCCATAATAGGTATATTCCATAGCTAGTGATACCTGTGATCCAATTCCATGTCCTGAGGTGTCTTCCACTGGCTAGCAAAAATGAAAAGTGTCGCTAACGCCATGCCAATACAGTGGTACCTCAGGTTAAGAACTTAATTCATTTTGGAGGTCCATTCTTAACCTGAAACTGTTCTTAACCTGAAGCACCACTTTAGCTAATGGGGCCTCCTGCTGCCGCTGCGCTGCCAGAGCATGATTTCTGTTCTCATTCTGAAGCAAAGTTCTTAACCCGAGGCATAGCTGTCAACTTACAGATTTGGAAAATAAGGGACCAGCAGCCTCAAAAATAAGGGATCAGCAGCCAAAATAAGGGATTTTCCGGGCACAGGTATGTTCAACTTCTGAGCCCCTCCGAGCCAAAGGCAGAAAGCCTAGCCAGCAGCCAAACAAAGCCTCAAGCGGTGGTTCCCACAGCGCAGCAACCCGGCAAAGGGGATGCAGCAAGGAAAACCACTGTCACCTCTCCGCTGGGAAGCGCTGAGCAAAGGTGAGTCCCTAGGCAACGTGGCCGATTTGATCGGCACAAGGCATGCAAGCTCCACCCCCCCCAGTCGTTCTTAGACTCCTTATTGGGTGAGCAACACAGCCAAGCAACACAGTTGGAGCCTCCCTCCTCCCTGGCCAGCAGGGAGGGAGGGAGAGGAGCTGCTTCCTTTGAAACCTGGGAAATTTAAGGGACATCATCAATAAGGGACAGCAATGGGACATGGCACTGGGATAAGGGAGTTTCCCGCCAAATAAGGGACAGTTGACAGCTATGACCCCAGGTACTATTTCTGGGTTAGCGGAGTCTGTAAACTGAAGCGTCTGTAACCTGAGGTACCACTGTAACCACTGATGTTATGTTTTCCTTTTCAACTCCCAAAATATTAAGCACTAACAATGTTTTCGTCCCACAGTATTTATGTATTTGCTGGACAGGCAGCCTATTGTAGGAAAAAGAGGCATAGGTACCTCATTCTCATCTGCAAGTCACTTAACTAGTGATCAGTTCTATTTAGAAGTGGGGGGGGGGAGCACTGTCTGCATAATCATCTCTTTGGCTGGAAAAGCAAGAAGGCTGCAGGTGTGAATCAGAAGCCTTGGCCAACTTGTCTCATCTCATCTTTTATTTCTCACCTGTAAAATGGTAATAACATCAATGCTCCTGACACGGTTGCTGTTAGAATGGGCGAGATTAAGGTGTCAAGTATGGATTATACTGGAAGTGTTATAGAAATAGGTCAATAAGTAGTGAGCTTTATTTTATGGGTTGTTTCTGATGTCAAACTATTGCATAATGAAGTGACTAATGCATAATAAATCTATCCCGCCGTAAATAAAATTTCCATTTCCGTCCTGAATTTCCTGCATAGAAAAAAAAGTGAAGTTTGTGCCTGCTAAATTTCCAAAAAACCCAACACCTCTAACCTTGGTAAATTCATGCTACATTTGACAAAAAACATCCAGGAAATTCTGCTTTCTTTTCTGACACATCATAGTTAATTTGATATATGTATTGTGAATGCATCTTTCTGTCTTGTGATCCCCAGAAGTCTGATCCTATGGCAGGGGCTTTTGTTGCTGATGTAGCTTGCTCCTTTCTCCTTGATTCAGAAGGATGTCATTCATTTGGGTCCTCGTTATATTCCTCCCCTGTGGATATTCACATTGAGAATGGATGCCGTTGACTATGTGATCTAGTTTTCTTCCACTTCTGATGTGCTCCTTTGTGATATACACTTCACCTTTATCTAGGAGGAACAGTCATATTGATGCTACCATTTCTGTACTGGGGTAGATGGATGTCGCTGTTTGATGCTGGCACATTTAGAATTGCTGAAAAGTAAATGATTGACATGACTCGAATCTCGTTTCCATATGAAGGTTTTGGAATGTCGCTGCCTATCAAATCCATTTTTACTGCCAGTAGTAGCATACAAGTGAGCCATTTTACTCCCAGAACCCATCAGTCTCTCTCTCTTTCTCTCCTGCATGTACTTAAAACATAGCAAAGGAAATAGGGATGTCCTCCAAGAAAAGAAATGATGTTGTGACACAACAGAGAAATCATCGTCCGGAGAATAATGTTTAGTATCGCAGATAGAACTGCAGCTGAATAATGGAGATATGACTCTTGGGAAGTATAGGTGCTGATGATGTTTGTTCTCCAACCCACTGCACAAAGGATAAATGAAAGTGATGTATGCGATGCACATTTATTATCCTATAAATAAATATTGGTTGCTAACACCCTAATCATCCAGCCCAGACTGGTTAGTACTTCAAGGTGTCCTGCAACAGCAATGCACAGGGATGGTGCAGATATATGGATTGGCACTGTGCATACTCAGGAAACAGAAATGGGGGTTGATCAGAGGGGAAGCAGACATATTGGTTCATTAAGGTCGGGGGGGGGAGTGGAATCCAAAATCCACTGTTAGGCATTACTTTCTTAGGACCAAGCAAAATATAAGAACATAGGAAGAGCCTGCTGCATTGTGCCAAGGGCCCATCTCATCCATCATCCTGTTCTCACAGTGGCCGACCAGATGCCTATGGGAAACCCACAAGCAGGATTTGAGCAAAGGAACACATACACACACACACCGCTGCAATTTCCAGCAACTGGAATTCAGGAGGATTGCTGTGTCCAAAAAGTCACAAAATAGTGAGAAAGCTTTCAAGTTCTCCAAAACTATTCATCAGGCTGGATGCTAAACAAAATACAGGGGTGCGGGACCATGAAATCATAGGGGCTGTCAACTCTAAGGAGCCCAGGTGTCATGGGTCCTGTCCCTGGCTTGATCACACAGTAA